GGGCCGCTCACCACAAGGTCCTGGGTTCAAACCCACCAGCCGCTCCTCGGGAGACAGATGAGGCTGTCTGCTCCCGTCAAAATGGACGGCCCAGGGTCTCTGTGAATCTCAGTCGACTCTGTGGCATTGGATCCAGTACGTGAGTTTTTATTGGTCAGAGAGTGGAGCCCGCCAGGTTTGCACCCACAAACCAGCTGCTCTGCGGGAGACAGATGAGGCTTTGTCCACCGGTCAAGAGTTTGCAGCCTCAGAAAGCCACAGCGGTTTCTACTCTGTCCCACAGGCTCGCTGCGAGTCAGAAAGCATCGACGCCATGGCAGTGAGGTGTGTGTGTGTGTGTGTAATCTGGTAGAGCTACTTCTTGCAGGGTGGGGTGGGGAGGCTTGGGGGATCTGGAGAACCTTCAGGTCCAAGCAGCAGAAGGCAGTGTTTGTGGGGGGTCTGAGGCTGGGAGAAGCAGTCTGATGGGGATGTGCCACCGGTCCTATAGGAGCCATGAGTGCCTGCTGGCAGGACACAGGGTACTTACCAGGGCAGGGCAGGCAGCCAGAGCTGGAGACGGGGCGCATGGTGCCAGCCATGAGACTATCAGTTTGATTATTTAATTAGAGGTAGCGTCTGGAGGCTGTGAGTTGAGGTTCTGGCCACAGGGGGTGCACAGGGGTCACAGGCCCTGAGATGGCCCAACGGGGGCTGTACTGGTCTCTGCTGGCCCTCTGGTTTGTTGACAGTGCATCCTTTCTGTTGGGCACTGTTGGACCAGGTTCCAAGGCCCCTGGGTGAGCCCTCATCCCGTCAGCCCCTGCTCGGAGCCTGTGCACCTGGGAGGCCTGGGGTGTGTGGCTTCTGCTGGCCTCCCTGTCCTGCCTCCACCCTGCCCCGTCTAGCTGGGTGCCTGGCACACTCCTGGGTACCTGCTGGCTGAGAGGTTGTGGTCTGAAGCTTTAAACCAAATAGAGTCCCTTGTGGCCAAGCCCCCAAGTATCTCCAAGTAGAACCGCACCCCATGGTGTTTTCAGTGGCCGCTGCCTTGCGGAAGTAGTAGATGGCCAGGCCCTGGTTTTGCTCTGCGTTCACTTTTTCTTGTGAATTCGGCGGAGGTTCACGGAGCGTGATGCCGCCTCCGTTTCACGTCCGGCACTAGGTACACGTTAGTCTCCTCAGTGTCCCCAGGCTGATCCCACTTCCTCCCTGGGTTTCCTGTTTCCATCCCTCCGCCTTTCCTAGCCCTGTGTCCTTGGGGGGGATGCTGCCCTTTGGATCTCAAGTGGTCAGTTATATCCCAACACGGCGCTCCGTGGATTCAAACCGCTTGCCAACCCCGAGTGCAGGCAGACCCTTTGCCACCACCTGGGACCTGGCACTTGGAGTGAATGAGTGGAGCTTCGCTGAGACTTACTTGGCAAGGAGGGGACTGGCTGGGGCTGTCTGTTTCTGAGGACCCTGCTCCCGTCTCAGTTTGGGCACCCGGCGCTTTGTCCCTCACCTAGGAACTACGGAGGCCCCGAGGTGCTGCTGCTAGGGTACCCTACATCTGCTGGCCGGCCAAAGTGAGGCAGCCGGGGGAGTGTGGAGCCAGGCGGCTGGTACCTGCTGGGGGCTGTTCACTTGCTTGGGTCTGAACTTCCATGTGGGAGAAGGCTTTACTCTAGGCCCGTTTCACAGGAGGAAGCTGGGGGGGTCGGGGGGAATGTGGGTGCCCTAGCCAGAGGCAGCAGGGGGACCAGGGCTGAGTCCGCATTGGCAGACGTGGGACTGTGGCAAGCTCCCCAGGAGATGGGTAGGGAGCTGGGAACCACCCAGAGCCTTGCTCAGAGCTCCGGTGATTGAGGCTCACAGCCTCCAGTAGGGCCAGGGCCAGGGCCCTCCAGGCCCTGAGGGAGCCCAGGCTGAGGCCCGGGGCTCCTGTGAGGGTCCACGCCAAGTTCTGGGCTCCT